TGTTCTAGGCAAGCAAAAGAGGGTAACCTTTGTGAAGACGGGACAACAACCCAAGACTGAGCGGCTGGAGTTGATTCATTCAGATGTCTACGGACCTACAAAGGTCTCTTCGATTGGAGGTTCCCGGTACTATGTTACATTCATTGATGACTCTACACGGAAGGTATGGGTTTATTTTCTTAAGAATAAATATGATGTCTTTAACACTTTTAAGAAGTTCAAGGCTGGAGTTGAGAATGAAACAAATCTCAAGATTAAGTGTTTAAAGAGTGATAATGGGGGTGAGTACAATAGCACAGAGTTTGTAGAGTATTGTGCTGAACAGGGGATCAGAATGCTGAAGACGGTTCCAGAAACACCACAGCAAAATGGTGTTGCAGAGAGGATGAACAGAACACTGAATGAGAGGGCCAGGAGCATGAGATTGCATGCAGGACTTCCAAAGATGTTCTGGGCCGATGCGGTGAACACAGCAGCATACTTGATCAACAGAGGACCCTCATCTCCCATAGGTTTCAAAATTCCAGAAGAGGAATGGAAAGGTCGAGAGGTATCTCTTACTCACTTGAAAGTTTTTGGTTGTATTTCTTATGTCAAAGTTAGAGATGCAGATAGTGACAAACTCGAGGCAAAGGCAAAGAAGTGTATCTTTATTGGGTACGGGATGGATGACATGGGCTACAGGTTCTGGGACAACTACAACAAGAAGGTTATCAGAAGTAGAGATGTCACCTTCAACGAGAATGCCCTATATAAAGATGGTCTTGCAGCAGATACGAGTAACGACAAACAACCAGAAACCAAACAGCAAGTGGTGTTTGATGGGATGACTGAAGATGGCATAGCACAACCTGCTGGTTGTAATGAGATGACTGGAGGCTCAGGGAGCAGTGGGAGCTCAGGAGATACAGGAATGTCTGAAGATAGTGAGAGTGATGAAGATGGTGGGAGTTCAGAGGCAGCTACTCCATACATTAGACAGTCCACTAGAATCAGAAGACCTCCTAACCGATATTCTCCTTCAGCAAATTACCTGTTGCTGACCGAGAATGGAGAGCCAGAATCTTACTCAGAGGCGCTGACCATGAAAGATTCCATACAGTGGAAGAAGGCCATCGAGGATGAGTTAGATTTACTTGAAAAGAACCAAACTTGGTCCTTAGTCAAGCTACCACCGGGAAAGAAAGCTTTGGAGAACAAGTGGGTGTTCAGAATCAAAGATGAAGCGGATGGAAGCAAAAGATACAAGGCGAGGTTAGTTGTCAAAGGGTTCCAACAGAAGAAGGGAGTTGATTACAATGAAATCTTCTCTCCGGTTGTGAAGATGACTACTATCAGGTTGATCCTTGGTATCGTTGCTGCTGAAAATTTGCATTTGGAGCAGCTGGATGTAAGGACTGCCTTTCTTCATGGCAACCTTGAAGAAGACATTTACATGGCTCAACCAGTAGGCTTCCCAGTGAGTGGTAAGAAGAAGTTGGTGTGCAAACTCAAGAAGAGTCTATACGGACTGAAGCAAGCTCCTAGACAGTGGTACTTGAAGTTTGACAGTTTTATGCAGCGGAATGGGTATACTAGATGCAAGATGGACCATTGTTGTTACTTGAAGAAACTCGAATCATCATACATTATTCTTCTTTTGTATGTTGATGACATGTTGGTGGCTGGAGCAAACATGCAGGAGATCAACAAGCTCAAGAAGAAGTTGTCCGAAGAATTTGAGATGAAGGATTTAGGGGAGGCGAGACAGATTCTTGGGATGAGCATAGTCAGAGACAAGGTGGAAGGTACTTTAAAGCTTTCACAGCAGAAGTACATTCAGAAAGTCCTTGAGAAGTTCAGAATGACGGATGCCAAACCATAGAGTACACCGTTAGGGAGTCAGTTGAAACTCTCCAAGCAGCAGTCTCCGAAGACCAATGAAGACAAAGATGAGATGGCTAAAGTTCCTTATGCATCAGCAGTTGGTTGTTTAATGTACGCAATGGTGTCAACAAGGCCAGACATTGCTCATGCAGTGGGAGTTGTTAGCAGGTTCATGTCAAATCCAGGGATGGAACATTGGGAAGGAGTCAAGTGGTTGTTACGCTACTTGAAAGGTACTTCTGAAACTGCCCTATGTTTCAGGAAGAATGGCGTAATTCTAGAAGGATTTGCCGATGCTGATTTGGGGGGCTGTCATGATTCCGGGAAGAGCACTACGGGTTACATATTCACTATTGGAGGTACGGCAATCAGTTGGATGTCTAGACTACAGAAGAGCGTAGCTCTTTCAACCACAGAAGCAGAATATATGGCCATTGCTGAAGCGGCCAAAGAGTTGATCTGGTTGAAGAACTTTCTTTCAGAGTTGGGCATGAAGCAGGGAGATTGCGGTCTATATTCTGACAACCAGAGTGCTATTCATCTCGCAAAGAATCCGGTGTTTCACAGCAGAACGAAACACATCAAGATGCGGTATCATTTCATTCGAGAATTGATTGAAGATGGTACTATAAGTTTGAAAAAGATCCTTGGTACGAAGAATCCAGCAGACATGCTTACCAAGGCGGTGACAACGGAGAAGTTGAAGCTATGCATGGCTTCAACGGGCCTTCCAGATACTTGATGAGAAGGCGTGGATGAGAGAGAGAGAGAGAGAGATCAGGGGTTTTACAGAAGATACATGTTCTTGGATGGCAGATGATTGTTGACCAAGCCTCCAAGTGGGAGATTATTGAAGATGGAGTCTTGTTCAGAATTTTAAAGTAGTCACCCGACCGGGTATATTGGGTCACCTGACCGGGTATGTTGAAGCAGAGACCTGGGAACTCACTGGAACGTGAGACCCGACCGGGTCAGGAGAGGCACCCGACCGGGTCAGTGATGGTTTATAGCTTCTGTTTTGGATACCCGCCCTGGTATCGACCCGGGCGTGAATTTTGTGAAGAGACCCGACCGGGTCAAGGGGGGCACCCGACCGGGTCTACGGGAATTTTAATTACGGGCCTTAATTTTAATTAGGGCCTGCGGCTCTAATCCTGATTTAGGTTTTCTTAAACCTATTTAAACGACTCTTATGTACTTGTAAACCTCTTGGGACGCTAATAATAATACATCCTCTCTCTCGTTCGCCGTGGACTAGCACAATCAAACCGATTGTGTGAACCACGTAAATTCTTGTGTTCTTGCTCTTAATTTATCGTTTATCTTTGCCAAATCGTAACAAATACTACATGCAAAGCATAACCAACCTCACATCATGCTCCTACTTTCTTGCATGCGTGAGGGTGTGGTTTAATAACCACATGCACATGTACATAATTACCATGTAGCTCCTAAATGCAATCCTAAATACATGTAAATAATTAACAAATTAAATTTGACTAAGTAAAACAAGTTTAAAAGTCCACATTCTCCCCCTTAAGCTTGTTTTACTTCTCCAACACTCTTCATTCCAATCTTGTCTCGCAGCTCAATGTATTTCTGCCCTCCAAGGGGTTTAGTTAGAATGTCTGCTAACTGCCCTTGTGTCTTGGTATGCTCAAGCTCAATAACCCCGTGTCCAATACACTCACGAATGAAGTGAAACTTGGTGTCAATGTGCTTACTCCTTTCATGGTAGACTGAATTTTTGGCTAAATCAATTGCAGACTTGTTATCAACTTTGAGTAGTGGTTTCACCTGCTTATTCCTGTCCAGACTCTCTAACATTCTTTTGAGCCAAATACCTTGACAAGCACTCTCGGTTGCTGCTATATATTCAGCCTCACAGGATGATAAGGCCACAATCCTTTGCTTTTGTGACACCCGTGTAATAGGACTCTCACCAAAGAAATAGATGATGTCAGTAGTACTCTTCCTATCATCAGTGTCAAAGATGCGAGGGTGAAGAGAGGGCAGCCGTTGTTGGAGGAGGTGTTTAAAACCGGGGCTGTTGCTCCGTGACAGGAAGTTTCATAAAGCGGGAATAAACAAGGGTGTTTTTGTCACTCCATTGAAAACAGGGGCGGAACTACCCTAGGGCTAGGGGTGCCTTGGCCCCTGCAATGATTTTTTTTTTTAAATATATATATATATATATATATATATATATATATATATATATATATATATATATATATATATATATATATATAAATTAATTTTTATTAAGTAGTGCCCCTGCAGGCTGCAGCCCAATTCCCCCTTTCCCAGTTCCCACTTGTGCCTGGCCCAATGTATTCCCTATTTCCCACTTCCCAGGAGCCCAAATCCTCAAAGCCTCAACAGCCCAATCCCCCCTTTCCCTTTGAGTTTGTTCGGCAGTTCACTCAGGTCAGCAGCAGCCCCGCATCCGTCAAGCAAGAAGCGACTGAACCTACTAACTCTCAAGCGAGTGAGCGACTGAAGCCCGGAGGAACTCCCAGCGGGTCAGCGACAGCCGACGCCCAACTGCCCAAGCCCCGATGGTCGATGGAGACTGAGTGACTGTCCTCGTTCTTCCCAGTTCCCGAGTTGCCGCCTTGCCGGTATGTTTTAATTTATCTTTTCTTTTGACGGTATATTTTAATTGTTGATGAATGATGAATGATTTATGCTTCATTGCTTTGTAAATTGTATACTTGTATTGTATATTAGAACCACGGTGCTTCATTTGTAAGATTGACCAATTAGACATTCATTTTGAAGTTTGGTTCAACTTTCAAGACATAAGTTTGGTTCAACTTTCAAGATTGGAGAAGAATATTTGACAGATTGCTTGGTGTGCTACATTGAAAAAGATATATTTGTTAAAATTGATAATGAAGTCATTATGAGGCGATTTCAAACTTCAAAGTATGGCACCTCAAAGACAAAGATTGCTGCCTCTCAATGATTCTCCTTCGGTTGACACGTCAAGGTTCTAATCAAAATTAAGGTACTGTTTAAGCAGTTACTTTTAAAGTTTTTTTATTTCTTTATTCATGATGCATATGATTTTTTTAGAGTAGTATATAGTTTCTTTGTTATTGTGCCCCTGCGAGCCACAAATCCTGGTTCCGCAATTGATTGAAAATTAGTCTTATTTAGGAGTTTAATAGTTCAAAGTCCTATTACTATTTCCCTAGAACCTTTTACTATCACATACTCCGTATTACACATTTTCTCCAAATAATGTCTTATTAAATTCACACCCCTTAAGCTGAAATACTCAAAATATGACAATCACCATGATTTTATTGGCAAAAAATAAATAGCATTGTTTCAGGTCAACGAGATCAAATCCAACCTACAAGGCCTTCAAACCCTCCTCAAAAAATCTGGTAAAAGCATCCATCTGTGTAACTGGCAATGCCAAACCAATCTCAAGTGCACCTTCCTCATCCTTGCTTCCAGCGAGAGATATGGCCCCTGTTATATCTATTGATGGAATCTCCGACTTTTTAGGCTTTCCCCATCCAAAATCTAACCCATAATAGTCAAACTTGGGGGACGCAGCCACACTCAATGTACGGTCCATATTAATTGTGGAGAGCAGCGTATACCAATCTTCAGCTCCTTTCAGGACTCCATCTTTGTGGTTATTGTACAGCTGGCCACGTATGCTTTCTCCGATCACCGCCGCGGCCGCCGCCAACCCATCCTCGCCCACATGTTCCCTAACCTTCGCATATCCATAACAAACAGTGATGCAATTCCCGAAGTAGTTTTCAGGCAACGGCGGATCCAAACGCGCCCTACAATCCGCCATACAACCAAACAGCTCATCTTCATCATCATTAGCGTACACGCCCGCCACGTGGCGAGATCGTATCACGCAGTTCCACACGAACGAACACGTCACCGTGAATGAGGTTACATGTGCCAGTTCCGGACGTCGTGCCATGACGTGGCTCTTGAGCCTTTGGATGTCGCCACGTGTCAGTGTAAACGTGGAACGGACCTTGTTCTTGACCGTTGGAAGCAGGTCAACAAGGGTATCCTCGATTTTGACATTCTTTTGATTTTCCCAGAAAATGGCTTCTAATCTTCCTCTGCCTTCTTTGAGCTCTGTTCTATCGAAAAACGGTAGAGAATCAGGTTTGACTTTCTGGTCGCCGCCGCCGGAAAAGAAAGCCCATGTCTTCCAGAAACCGAAGATGGTTTTACCGTCACCGACGACGTGATGAAAAGTGACGCCGATGCAAAACCCGACGTTTGGGAATAGTGTTACTTGTAACGCTAACAGAGGGACTTGTGTAGATCCGTCAAAATTTCTTGACGGCGGGGGTAATCTCGGAACAAGCGGATGAGAATCCGCACAACTTTTAGCACTATTAGACACAAGATGGTCAAAGTCGCCCTCGGTCAATGTGGATTCCGCCAAGACTAACGTCACAGAGTCGCCGTCAATGTAACGGATTCCCGGCAAGATGGAATTGTCAGATGAGACTACCAATTTTCCGGCGAAGGGACTATAGTGTTGAAGGGTTTTGGATAAAGAACTTTTCATTAGAGGAAAAAGGGTATCTATAAAGTCGGTTTTTGATATGGGGTGGTGATGGAAGATGAGTCGGTGAACCGGGTTCATGTGCAACCAGAGCAGGTCGAGAAACGTGAGCGGAAGGGTCAGATTTGCTGCGGCTTCCGGCGGTGGTGCCACCGGAAAGTGACCCAGCACGGTGAGGTCAATGGGTTGACTTCCGGTCATGAGGATTCTGCTTGGAGATAAATATGAGGTGCGGCCTTTTGATCAGTGACCAAGCTGGATCGTAAGATTAGACGATAGTACTACGTATGGGATATGAATTTTCTATTTAAAGGAGAGGGATAGAGGATGCATAATAGTAGCAATTTAGAAATTGATAGCATAGAAGTAAAGACTTTTAATTTTTGAAAAAATGAATTTCATGTTTTAATTTCTTAAATATTATTCGGTCCGCCCTATATAATTTGACAAAATTCCTTTTTTGTCGTTCCAAAAAACTTAACAACTTTCATTTAAAGTAATCAATTACAGAGTAATAGTCAAAGTGATTTCTATCTTTCCTGTGTACAAATTTCAAGCAACAACTTTTACTTTATTGACATACGTCAAGTCAACTTTGGTCAATTTTTTTAAATGAAGGAACTAGGGTGCCAAGTTAAAAATAATTTGATGGAAATTATCATGTTTAAATCTGATAATGTCAAAATAGATACTGAGTAAAAGATACTCCTATTTACGTAGCATTTCAGTCTAGCTGGTTATGAGGTTATCGTGTCTAGTGGGAGGGCTTGAGTTCAAAACCTGCTAGACATATAAGAGTTTGAAACTCAATAGAGTAAGTTTCAGTCCTGATTACTCCAGGCCCCCAGCCCCCTTCCCTAGCCCCCATTGGAGTAGAAAAGACGTAGTATAAAATTAAAATACTATATTCGTCCATATATGATTGTCTCATTTTACTTTTTCAGTTCGTCACTCTAAAATTGTTTCATGTCTTATTTAATAAATCTGTGTGACTCTAAATCTTTTTTGTGTTATTTTTACTTTATCAATTTGACACGCCCTCTGCATTATTAGTGGGATGAAGTATACTACTCCGGTTTTAGGCTTTCACACAAAATAAGGAAAGAAATTTGACTTTACTGTAGAGTACACTGTTGAGGCACTGTTTGACACTGTAGAGACACTGTTTGGCACTGTTGAGACACTGTTTGACACTTTTTGGCACTATTTTGATGTAGATTTCTTTGCATTTTGAAATATTCGGAATCTTGACGGACCATATTTTTCAGCCTGCCAACTTCGACATGTCGGGTACGGCTCCTATGGACGAGCAATTGTTTGACATTTGACACCTATCCCTATCACTTTTTTTTTTCCTATCACTTTTTTTTATACATCTTTTTCAGTACGTAGCACATTATTACAATTAATTTCCTTTTATACTTTTCTGATTTTCTAGTCAGGGTAACGAGGAGGGCTCTCAATCTTATCTAAATGGATAAGTGGAAAATTATGAATATCATTTGCCACTTTGATCTGAGCATATGATCATAAATGAAATTATAAAGAATAACGTTGAACCACTTTTTGGTACACACTATTTCATGCCCTAGAGGCCCTCGAACTTACATAAAAAAATCAAATACGTCCTTATATAAAAGGCTTTATCCAGCCGTCGTCATTTGAGGCAGTTTCTGGTGGAATTTTTTGATGAATTTTTTTAGCAATTTATTTAGGGTAAAATAAATAATATACCCCGAACTTTGCCTTAGTGTGAGCTCCCCACCCCGAACTTGTCCTAGTTTAAAAAAATACCCCCAACTTTATTTATTTAAATTTTTTGTACCATATTTTAATTAACAAATAATATTTCTCAAATTATAATATGTTAATTAGATTTAGTTGTCAAACAAAGATTAATTAACATATTTTTTGTACTTAAATTAGAGATTTTGAAGTTATTTAATCAATTCGAAAAGCACACATTAATTTGGGAATCACACATCTTTTTTGCCAACTAAATCTAATAAAAATATTACAATTTGAGAAATATTATTTGTTTATTAAAATATGGTACAAAAATATTAAATAAATAAAGTTGAGGGTATTTTTTAAACTATGACAAGTTTGGAGTGGGGAGCTCACACCAAGGCAAAGTTCGGGGTATATTATTTATTTTCCCCATTTATTTATTAAGTCTAGTTTACTCATACCAAATTTCACCTAAAACTTCAATCGGGACGGCATTCAAATGAATTCTTGAAGATAAGTGTATGTTTAATTGTGACATTTCATCACTTTGTTTTTCGCTTCAATTCACCATGCCACTTTAATGAAAGTTTGATTAATATTTGAAAACATTTTTTCTGATATTTATTTACGAAATTTATTGCTAATTAATAATTCATATTTAGGATTTCTTTCCAAATAAGAGTAAAGAAATTGTAATGTAACAGTACATTATTTTCCCGTAATTAAATAGGAGTGAGTCCGTTACCACCATATTATTATCATCTAAAATCATATTGTCATCTTTTGGCGTTATCAATCATTAATATTACTTTATTTTAGACTCTCGTGATTATCAGTTTTTTCAAGCATATAATTAATTTCCTACTTATGAAAAAATATAGTACTTCTATTTTGAAACATCACATTACTATTACTCTTATTTAGGAAAATTTGTCCATCTTTGTGAAAAATTAAATTATTGTATTTAAAACCAGAATTATCCGATAGAGATATTAATTTCATACACAAGCTAAAGTTATGTTATTAAAGAGAAAAATGAAAGACAAATTTATTTAAAACACCAATGATTCATGTTACATATAAGTCGGTTCTGTTGGTTAATTTATAAAATTTAGAGAATCTCTAAATAAGGCATTAGAAATTATTATTTGTGTATTCGTCGAATTATTCATTCTCATGTTGTATTGTTTCTGCAATATTAAAATAACATAATATCTATCCAACATGATGCGGATATGTTAATCATTATTATATGCCCTTCTTAAATTATTGTTTGGTTAGTTCTATCATGTTCAAGAACTTCAAACATATACGGAGTAGTTTTGAACCTAGAGATTCGGAGATTTAAGGCAATAAATATGGGAAAACTCTAGAAATGAGATAGGGAGCATCGTACATATAAGGTTACCAAAAAATGTATTTTAAATAAAAAGTACTACACTATAAATGGCTTAAGGCAACACTTCAAAAATGTTGCATTATACCCAAATATGTTGACTTAGGAATCTATGGCAACACTTTTCCAAATTTTAAAGTGTTGAAATTTTGGCCGTTGTCATAGATGCCTATAGCAACAAACTAAAATGTGTTAGCAACTATTTTGGCTAGGGCAACATCATTCAAATGCAAATGCAATACTTTGATATTGCAACACTTGGAGCAACATTTGTTGATAAATTGCATTTTTGTATTATTCTTTAAAAGCCACAAATTTAATAACATACAAGAATACATGAACTCGAACTTTTTTAGTTTATCTAATGACTAGGAGCCCGTTTGGTAGCACCAAAATCGGCTGTTTTGATTGATTCTGCTGAAATTTATGATATTCTGGCTGGAGTGGCTGTTTTGGCTGATTCTGCTGATTTAAGAAAAAAATATTTTAAAAATATATTTTATTAATAAATTAAAGAAAAAATTATATGTAAAAATAGCTAAAATGGTCCTCTACAGTGACTTCAGCCAATACAGCCAGAAAAGTAACTCCAACCTTACTTTTTCGGCTTATTACACAATTCAGCGCGCGAAAGTAAAAGTTACGTGTTTGATGAAAAAGCTGGCTGATAAGCCTGATAAGCCGAAAACAGAGTTCTCCAAACGGGCTCTAGGTCTCCAAATAAAATCTACTACGTATCATCCATTCATACATAAGTATCATAACAATTACAACCCAAACAAAGATTCAAAAAGCACATGTATGATTCTAAAAGCCAAAAACTACTCTAATGTTCCTGCTGCCAAAATGAGTGTCTGCATCAGCCTCCATAGAAGCACACATTATCAACACCTGGAAAAAAAAGTTAAGAAGTAAATAAATTAAAAAATGTCAACTATAATTCTTAACTCGCTTTTTTCCAACCTTGGTATTCTGTTGGCATTCTTTTAAATTTCTTGTAATTTGAATTGGCTTTTTCTGCCCTGCAGATTTCTTTTCGTTCCCTTTTCTGGACAACAATAGTTCAATTATGATTTGTTCACATGATTTTTCCTGAAATGGATTCATATCTTCATCAAAAGGTAAATCCTTAAGATCATTTTCGTTTATTAAATATAGGCAAAAGATCAACATAAGGCAAAAATTATTGAGTAATTTTAGTAATTATGTAATTAAATTAAATAAATTTATACCTTTGTCATTCATCGTACAAAGGATGGAGTTTTACAGCATCACAGAATCATTATAGTTTGTTATTCTAATTAAGATAATCCAATCTGGAAAGTAAATTTTTCTCCTTGGCATGATGCACCTCAGCACCTTTCTCCTTTTTCCTTTAGTTATGGATGATGTTGAACAATCTTCAAAGTGACAAACCTTCTCTTGGGTAGATTCTCTAATCCTATAAATATGCAAATCACTATTCAACTATAAAACATTAAACATCATATTATGCTTATAATGGCAAACGTATACCGGCAAAATTAAAGAACTTGGTAAAGGTACATGTTAAGATACACTTCAATTTCTTGGTCTTAGTATCAGATTTGGCTGGGCTTGATCACATTGAAGAGATCAGATTGTTTCATCATGTTGATACAAAGTAACTAAAATCAAGGGGCATCATCATTTTGATGCACAAGAACATAATCTATAACATAATCGTCATTTGTGAGCATCTTTCATCCTATTGTGTTAGAATTGGGAACCTAAATACCCCCAATTTCTTTGTAATATATTGTCCAAAATTTACTAATCAAATATATAATTGAATTGATCAATATTAGCTTCAAAATATAAGCAAAGTGATGGACCCATTACATTTTATATTTTGAAAAAACACAATTAGTCTAAGTTAAAGCACACTCAAACAAGTTTAAAAAAAGGAAAGACCAAATCGGGAACTTACTTTGAGGCTTTTGAATTAGTCCGTCTGCAAAATCGACACTTAAATTCACCTTTGGCTCTTGGACAATCAAAATACTTTCCTGCAATTCCAAATATTTTGTACGCCTCTAAGGGCGGGCATTCAAACCTCTGAAAGAGAAAATTTGACTTAATTGAAATCTGAAATTAACTTTCCACTTGAAAAATAAGCTGTAAAAACATAACACCGACCGAAATTTGAAATAATTTACACAAGAGGTAATTTGAGTTTGCACCCCATTTTAT